ATCGTTATCATACCTGACCTCGCTGCCCTGATAAATATCACAGCCATTACACACAACTGCTGCTCAATTAGAGCAGCACACAAACACAGACATGCAGGGCACCGTAACAAATGTTCAGATACACACACACACACACACACACACACACACACACACACACACACACACACACACACACACACACACACACACACATAGTTGTGTCACTTCAGAGGATATTAGATTGACTTACATTCATTTCCTTGAGACTAACCCTAGTCATGACCACTACTTGTCTAACCCACAACCTTAAACCAAGTGTAAGGATTTATGGGACTTACATTTTGGCCACAAAAGGAAGGCGAGTCCCCACAGTGTGACAGAGTAAACAGATTTCTGTCCCCACAATGTGAGCAATACTCGCTCACACACACACACACACACACACACACGCACGCACGAACGCATGCATGCACACACACACACACACACACACACACACACACACACACACACACACACACACACACACACACACACACTCCCCTTCCTCCCCATGTTTACACTTGACTCATGGGTGGCAGCACTGTTTCACTGTGTTGTAGCCAGTTTAGTTGAGGTTAACACAACAGTGTAAATTACTACAGCATGTAAGTGCTCATATGTATGATAACCCCGGATTGAACAAGACTTTCCAGTGTCACTTTCCAGTTACAAGCAATAAAAGGGCAAAAACACAAGTAGTTGTAAAGTTGTAGTTGTGGTGATTATTCTTTTGGAAACTTCTGCAAGATTTGGGTTAAGTGATTCAAGGTCAGTATCTCTATATCTAAGTATGATGGACTGCTTGTTGTCTGGCAGTGCATCCTCTCAGACTTTAATACCTGTAAGAAGTATATGAATAACTAGCTGAAGCGCTACGCATTTTAACCAAATCATCTCATGAATACACTACAGCTCGTATACACAATTTTTTGTGTATAACTTCCCAAAAGAGCTTAGGTCTTGTCTAATTACACAGTGTTTCAAGTCAAACTGTGTACCCTGAGTTTTGGTTGAAGAGGACAGACATTCGTATAGCCACCTGCCCAAAGAAACCAACCTAAAGCAGCAAATGTGTGGGAGATTGGTTCCTCCCGTGAAGCCGTGTCAGAAAATGGCAGGAAATTTCAGTTTGTGCTGACAAGGAGTTTCATGTTTCAGCAGTTATTTTTGTTAATGTGAGATACATTTAACTCCAGTACTATTGTGTTTGTGTGTGTGTGTGTGTGTGTGTGTGTGTGGCAGTAATGTGCACAATTCTGTTGTCTGCCAATCAGAAGAGGAGGAAGTGATCTGCATTTTCAGGTTAGTCCTCCTTAGAGTGGATGACTTAGAGTTGCTGTTAGTACACTGACGAGCTGATAGTCTCTTTCTATCAGTCATGACAGTATTGTATCCACCAAAGTAAATGCTGTGATCAGACGGGTTGTAAACAAGCCAACAGAGTAGCCTGATACTCAGTGTTACAGCCATAATGTCAGTAAAAATTCTTCTTTTCACAGAACAAGCGTGTGCTCTTAACTGCAACAACTAAACCTTTTTTTTATAGTAAAGCACAGTTCTCACTTCCAAGTCGTCACATATGGATGCAAGGTCAAGACCCCTTGCCGTCACTTTGTAACACACTGGGGATCCCTTTGCGTCATAGTTCAATGCACTGGGGGAAAGCCCTGTAGCAACATTATTTAACACTTAATGTAGGTGTGTGTTTTTTTAACAGAAAGGTCTGAGTAAGGAGCTGGTTGAGGTGGACAGTGGGCCAGAAACCAGACTTTCAGTCAGGAGACCAGTGTTTGTTCCCCGTTTTATTTCAATAATGTAAGTTATGCAAGTAACATAAGTTTACATTATTTTAAGCCAAAAAATGGCCTCACCCTAACCAAGTAGTTTTGGTGCCTAAACCTAACCAACACAACTACTAGTTTTATTTTGAAAGTTTAACCGGATGTTGCATATTTATTATTGCTAACTTTACTGGATGTTGCATATTTTTTGTCCCTAAGCCTTACATGTCGAAAAACTAAACTAAAGTGGTTAAAAAGCGACACCAAGGGGTCTTGACCAAGCGTCCATATGTGACGAGTCGGGAGTGAGAATGTATTTGTTGCTAATAGTTACTCGCTTCGCTTCCAGCGCATAGGACCTTATTTTGGAAAAAATATTTACAGTAGTCATTATTTTTTGATCCTGTTAGATAGATAAGATAATTTTGTCTGTCAAGAAAGTTGCAGTTTGTCGTAAAACTTTAAAGTTTGTGTGAAAACAGTTTAATGAACTACATTTCTTGTCTCGCACAATATACGTCACAAAAATGTTAGCGCGGTAATGCTACCTTACGTTTATTTGCTTGGTTGCTGATAATTAGATAACTTAGCTGTGTTCCACGCAGAAATATATCTCACCTGATGTGTTTAATCCAACGACTCTCACTCCATTTATCACATCATCCTGTCATGTAAGTTCTTTGATGTTAGCTTCAGTAAGGTTAGCTTCAGTCATTGAGAGAAAAAGTTACAACGTCACATACGCAATTTTGAGTTTGTGGTCTTTGTAATTTTGTATTTTCACAGTCTTATACCTCAACAGTTTTACATCAAACTGTATATTTTAAATTGACCATCATCTTATGTATAATTCAGAGCACCATTCAAATGGGATCAAAAATTTAGTTGTCTCTCGCCATTGACTACCGTACGTATTTTTCCCGAAGTAAGGTCCCATGGTGGTCCACCAGAAGGGGAGGGACTTAGGCTCTCTTGTTACTTTAATGATGTCTCTGTTTTATTTAAGCGTCCCAGTCAGCCATGACAGTGTGACAGTGAACCAGCATGCACAATGCCGGAATACATAGATGCTAGACACTTAAGCAGCTAAATGGAATTCAGCCGCAATTCATTTTATTATTTAAAAAGATACAAGATGTTCTAAACCTGATTTCTCTTTAAATCATGGTTTCATTTGTTTGCAGTAATCATATGGGGCTAAAGCATTTAGTGTCCAACTGACATGATGTTGATTTGAGCTGAAACACGGTTGCAGCCATGAACTGTGGACCATTGTGTTGTTTGGGTTACTGTGTGGGAGACGAGTGTTTGAACCCCAACAGGAGAACAGATTCACAACAGGAAGCTCTGAAAAGCTTCATTACTGGGTCCAGTTACAATTAGCCTTCCAACAAGGACACATGTGCGCGCACACACACACACACACACACACACACACACACACACACACACAGACACAAAGAAAACAGCAGGATCGTGTCTCTGATAGTGGAAGAATAGAAAACCCTGCTGTGTATTAGGCCAGGTGTATGTTATCTTGTGTGTGTGTGTGTGATTATGTCCAGTGTCTCTCTCACTCAAATTAAATGGTGTTTTCATCACAACAGTTGCTGCAACCACTGCCTAACCTGACAGGGTTGACCATTTACTTTGTATCTTCATCTCACACACACACACACACACACACACACACACACGCAGCCTCGACCTTTCATCAGCCCCCTCTCTCTCTACACCACCACCCACCCTCCCGAAAGATGACCTCTGAAGTCTGCAGAGTGTGTGTGTGTTTGCATGCACCACATGTGTCTGCTGCTACTGACAAACTAGAGACAAGTGATGATTGAGATTATGCAGGGCTGTGACTGGTGGACAGAAGCCCACCACACTCAGTCTAATAATTTGTATTTATTGTCACATGTGTCAAACTCCAACCATCTGCCACCACAGACGGCTGTAACATTCTATAAAACAGTTTTACTAAAACTTTTAAACCCCAAAGAAGCCATATATATTTTTTGTCCTGCTGCTGTCGCGCTCTATGCCAACCTGTTTGACTCCCTCCCCCCTTCTCCCTGGATGTTTTATATTCTTCTCATTCCTCTGGCTTTGCTCTATCCACCTCGGTCTTGCTGTTGATTGAAGGAGGGGTGACAGAGCTAACTAGAGTTTTACTGCCTGCTTCCTTCTCGCCCACCTTCCTCCTTCCCCTTCGTCCCTCCAAAGTCTTCCAGAGAAAACAGAACCTGATGGAGTTTACGACCCGATTACTGCCTGGACACGCTGCTGGCTACTCCCCCACAGCGCCCACAAACACACACACACACACACTCACACAGAGTCCCAGCAGTGGGCGCTGGTATGGGGGAAAGACTCACAAGTTTACCTGTCATCTCACATTAGTAACACTACAAACGAGTGCTCACACTGTAGAGAGAAGCTAACTATTCCTACTCCAAACAGCAGCCAGGCTATTTGTGGCCGAGGAGTGGGCTTGTAATAAATGTCAGTCCATTAAACATACATAGCTTTCAGTGCCTGGGAGCTGTTTAAGTAAACTTAGACATGACTGTGTTTCTGTAAATCCACACAACAACACCAGCAGCTATAAAAAAAGATCTGGGAACAGCTAGTTATAAAAATAGTGGACCAATGAGGTGAAACCATTATAAGTCCAGTTGCCTGCGTTCCTGGCGGGCTGAACAACATCAGACAACTTGTCAGCATATTACATGATCGCTCACCTGCCTCTCTGAGAACCTAATTGTCGCCCAGGGAAACAGGCCCCTCCCAGAAGGTTAATAAGTAATTTTCATTTCGGAGCCGAGTAGACGAAAATAGCATTGAATAGCATGTTTAACATTTTTATGTGGATGTGTCCATCTTTTGCTACAGTTATTTTGTTGTTGTCTGTATTTTGGTTTAGAATTTCTTCGATTAAATTTTTTTTAAAATTTCATTCTTTTAAATTATTAAAAAATGAAGACACAAGGTGCTTAACCCACGATTAGACCTTGAAGACAGTGTGTTTGATGTAGTAATAATAAAAAAGAAGACAACTCGGACAGCACTCCATTCAGACTTTTTAATATAGTCACATGGACAGTTCAGGTATGATGCCCTTCTTTAGCATATATTCTGGCAATTTCACAAACAATATAGGGCTACACTTAAATTACCAGCTAAAAAAACAAATTAGCTACCAGGCCTATCAGGCTGGGGATATCAGGTTGTTTTAACCTTTTACAAGAACTTATAGGTACTCTAGTTTTAATTTCATAAATAAATATTTGCTGTATATATCTTATATTTTATGAGTGTTATTCAGGCATTGAAGAGCTGAATCACCCTTCATTAATGATATAAAAAAGAGAGAGTAATGCTAAGCTAGGTTAAATGCTATATATAACAGTGCACTTAAAGGTACAATGTGTATGACATGGCCAAAACTTTAGTTTAAAACATTCAAAAATTAACTAACATTATGAACAGAAAGTGATGGAGTAACCAATGCTCAATGATGTCACACAACTCAAAGTTGGAAATTCCCAGCTGGTACATGGGAATCACGACCTCTTTGTGTACCAGAGGACTGACTTGGAATTATCCATGGAGAAACACAGCAACCAGCAACATGTTTGTTTACCTTTACCTTTCTTTCCACAAACAGCAAACATTTCAATGACATTTGGAAGTTTATGGTAACTAGGTAACATAGAATGCTAAATATATAAAAATAATAACTGTAAAATTAAATCTATAATTTAACTTAAACCACAAGTGTTAAAAAAAGTACACACAATAAAAAAAATTATGTGTTGCCTTTAAAATCATATGCCACAGTGTTGACATGGTATAAGATTATATCTCAGCATGCTTTAAATGCAAATTTAAAGAGACATTTCCCTGCATTCTCCCCTGGAGAAACTTTCCAGCAGCAGTTCAGGGGGCAGCACAACGATTGAGGTCTGCTGATGACACCAAGGGAAAGGTTTCAGTAGAGCTGATTGGCCAGCTGTCAGGAACTGTCCGTCCAGGCTTCTCTACCTGCACCGCAGTTCCCATGAGCACCTTTCTGTTGTCATCAGCGGGTGTTGGTTGGCACCTGTGACCTGTTTCATGATTTAGACATCAGAAGTAGACATATGGCAACCATATACAGCACATATTCACAAGCACCGGTTCACCACTCCCCCACAACACACACTCTCCTTCTCTTATAAACACACACATGTGTTTACATTACAGAAGAATGGATTGAATAATTGGGAAAAGAAGTTCTAATATCAAAATAATTTAAAAAAATCAGAGCCATTTAATAGATTTAGATGAGAAGTGTGTAGTAGTAGTGTGTAGTGTGCACCCTGATGCTGTGCTACAGTGGTTCTCTGTGCCCCGACAGTAATGTAATAAACCTACCAGCTCACATCCACACAGACCTGCCTGTGCAGCAAAGCACTGAGCGTATAGTCACCACAGCATCCCAAGAGACGCAACCTGAAACCGCTGAAAACGGTCCTCTCTGCCTGTGCACTCTCTCTCTCACACACACACACACACACACACACACACACACACACACACACACACACACACACACACACACACACTTACACTTACACTTGCTCACACAGAGAAAAAGAAAGAGGAAACCTTTATGAATAAACAGATGAGAGTCCATTAGTTGTAATGTTATTATCCAGCTGTCTGAACTGTGACCTCGCTGAGGGTGTGTGTTTATGTGAGCGACACACAGAGTGATGGCTAGTTTAGAAACCTATTTTGGTAGCCAAGAACATTTTTTTAAGGGATCCTTTTTCCAAAGCAACACATTAGCCTTTTAACCTTTTCCTAGGATGACCATCTCTCACCACATAGTTACCATCTTAGAGAACACGTTGTCATAGCTGTGTTTTTAGCTCACTGTTATGAGCTCCTGTTTTCATTAAACTATTTTGGTGTTTTTGGTACTTTTGTGGTCGATATTTTAAACAAAAACCCATCTCATATGCAATTCAAGTTTCTAGCTAATTTCTGAATTTCCGCCAAAAAGAAATATTAATCAATGTATGTTTCCATCAGCTGCACTACGAATATAATCAAGAAGAGGACAATATTACATAATCATTCAACCACCAGTAATTCTGATGTATTATTGTATTGAATTGCACTATCCCACCTCAGATGAATTCGATTTCTCTTTTTTTAAAAAATATCTTTGATCTGTGTGGTGCTTTTATTAGCGTTCTCATTTTTTGTGTATGTAACTTTGTTTTTTTAAAGGAATTTTTGGCACTTTTTTATTTATAAAAAAATATTTAAGTTGATAATGTGCCCAAACATTAGTTAAGATAACTCACTTGTTCCTCAACATTAACCGGTGTTATTTTTTCGAATGTGTGTTTAATCAGTTATTTTAGTCCAGTGTTTTAGTTAATCTGTTAAATTATCAGTCAGGTTACACAAATGTCAGTGGTAAAAAGAAGCACTTTCTGCACACATATTTTTGATTGACACAGTTGCCCCACAGGAACATGTTACAGCCACTGCAGCCGGGTCATGACTGCCAGCTGAAGCCGTCTACTGCACAGATTCCAAAACCTTTTGTACCTATTAGTCATTTCAACAGCAAAATATGTGAAAATAGGGACCAGGTTTAAAAATGCTGAAGTTATAATAATAAATCAGGTGAGAAGTGGTCACTTTGCAACCAGTGGAGTAGCCCCCTGCTGGAATTTAGAAAGAATGCAGATTTAAGGCACTTCCGCATTGACTTTATTTTTCATGCCCGGAGGGTTCCCTCTTGAATAAAACTCTCCATATGTAACAATAAATAACCATTTATAATACTTTGCCAGTCAAATAGGTCCGATGAAGTTTTTTTAATTACAGGTCTCTGATGTTAACAAGCTGCACGGTAACCTCCAACATTCTTGTTCTCAGTGTTGCTCCCTCGAGTGGAGAGGCTGGTGTGTGTTGGTGCTGATGATAATTAAGGTGATGAACATGAAAATGAAGATCCTTTGCTCCAATGTGTGCACGTGTGTGAGAGAGAGTGTGAGAAGGGTGAAGAGAGAGAGAGGGTGTGTGTGTCAATGTAGTGCTGAGAAGAGAACTAAAGGGCCATTTATAGCTGTCACATACTGACAACCATTACCCATGCATTTACAGTGCTCTCAGCACATACTGTCAGGAAGACTCTACACACACACAGACACACACACACAGGAACACACACTCCCCACTCTACCTGACAGAGCCTAATTATCGACACCTCTCCCTGTCGGATGAAACAAAAAACTGCTCTATTTTCAGACTGATGGAGTCTGATGTCTCTCTGTCGTTTTCTTCTTCTTCTCCCCCTCTCAGCGTCTTTTGTCGTCTCTGTGCGCCGCCTCGCCCGCCGCCCACCCCTTATCCGCCGTTTGATTCTCAACTCGTTAAATAAGACTCAAATTAAAACAGACAATGAGGAAAGTTTCCCCCTCACAGCCACTTTCATTTGTTGTGATTGTTATTCAGAGTCATGGATGGTAGTTTGCCCGTGTGTGTGTGTGTTTGTGTTCAGAGTGGAAATGGCAGCAAGTGCCATCTTGTCTTTGAGGCCTGCTTCATTAGTTGTCAAACAGAACAGCCTTGCTTACCCCTGGCCCGCCATCCTGTGTGTGTTTGTGTGTGTGCGTGTTGTGTGGGTGGGATGGGGGTTTGGGATCAAGTGGTGCCTCTGTAGCCCCTCAGAATTTGTTTTATGGGAGGTCAATTCAGCTTATCCAAGCTCTGATTCAGTATTTGTCCCTCTGGCCTGATGCAACCAACACCACAATAATGACATAATGCCATATTGTGTGTGTTGTGTGTGTGTGTGTGTGTGAAGAATGACAATACATTTTTCCGGGACATTTGTGTACTGTGTGTTGCAGTTTTTAGACAGAAGAGGAATGCATTGAATAAACTGATCTAACCAACCGTGTAACCAGCACACCCAGCCAGTAATGTTCTTCAGAGCTGTAGTAGGTGTGTCTGTGTGTGTGTGTGAGTGTGTGCATTTACGTGGCTGTTGGCACTCTCTGGTGAGTAGATCACATTTCAGAACATTCCAGCACCATGTAAACATTTATATACAAGCAAAGAAAACCACTCACATACACTCACACAGGCACACACATTCTCCGTAACACTCTTGCAATGCTTCGTAAATAAATCAGTCAGTGCAAAGAGCCAAGTGTTCACACGTTGATGTGGAACTCTCTTTACCTCAAATCTGTATGGAGGAATCATAGGGACGAAAGCAGGGAGAGAGGATGACAAGAAGAGGAAGTGATCAGAGCCCTCAATTTATTCTTCCAAAAGTCTCTGTTTGCCTTTCATCTCCCTGAGCAACACAGACTCCCTGGTACTCCACTTCAGGTGACTTCACTCTTAATAAATCTTTTTCAGAAAATAAAATTACCACATGAGGTTTGCTAAAGTTTACAACTTAATTTATTTACCATGTTTGTGTGTCTGTGTTTGTGTGACAGCGCTCACCCACTGAGGATGGTAAGAATCACAGATTCGCATCGGTTTACCGGCATAAAAGTTCAAGATGCGATTGGCCCGATTAAAAAAGTGTGCACCAGTTACATGCTGTTTACTTCCTGTTTCCAACCGACAGTCAAGGGAACCTTATCTAACCTTAAAGAGGTGGTATTATGCTCATGTTCAGGTTCAAAATCCTATTTAGGGGTTGTACCAGAACAGGTTTACATGGTTTAATTTTCAAAAAACACCACATTTTTGTCATACTGCACATTGCTGCAGCTCCTCTTTTCACCCTGTGCGTGAAGGCTTCCTTTTAGCTATGGAGTGATACATCTTGTCTCTAAATGATCTTTGTTGGGAGTTGCACATTTTCAGTTCCTAGTTATGGACTACTAGCCAATCAGAAGCAGAAAATCCGGTAAACACGGCTTCATTTCAGCTGTACATGTTACCGACCAGCTTGGCAACATAGACTGGAGCAAGAGTTTCAGAGTGGTGAGTTATTAATCTGTAACAAAAGTATTTTTCATCCATAAAGTTTTAACTGTCTCTACATCACAGTAACAACTTTATGTCCACTGACTGCCTGGAGGGTAGCTAGTGTTTGGAAGGGAGAGGAGGTTTTTGCTGCAGCTCAGTGTTTTTCCACCGGTGTTTTTGAAGGCGTGCCGGACTAACTGCTTGGCCAGCATTAATGAGGTGCATTTAGCTTTCATTCCTGTGTCGTCACAGGGATGAAAGGGAAATGGCTGGACTACAAACCAGCTGTTTTCAAGCAGTTCAGAGCAGCGTTTTCTGTGGGAGATGGGAACTCCCTTTGGGCTGGTCTTTGGGATTTTTCACTTTGCAAACCTATTACATGCACAAAAAAGTTATATAACTCAATAAAGGAGAGGAAAAAAGCCAAAAAGCATAATACCACCTCTTTAACAAAGTGGCAATCCCAACCATGATCTTTCCTTTAACCTAACCACATCATGTTCAAATGTAACCAAACCTCAACCATAGCATGGTCACATCATAAAATTTATTTATTTTTCAACAGTGATTTGTAACAGTGTTGGAAGGCACACACTTGTTTTAGAGGGCATGTACAAACTATGTATTTTGTCATTCAATGTGGAGGTCTTGCCCGAAAGGCTCAATTTTTGAATGAAATAATGTTTGAGATTTGATTGAGTAAACTGAAATTACTCACACACAAGCCTTAAGGTTAGAGTTGGTATCTAACCAGCATGAACTTGACGCTGTCACCACTGGCCAATCTCAGTATCCATCCCATTCTGTGTAAGCACTGAACCCTCAGAGACTTCACCAGCACACTCAACATAAATGTGTGAGTGCACGAGGCTGCAAGGACCGTGACAGCACTTTCTGACATCACATGTTACCTTAACAACAAAGGCATAAAAATTAATTTTATCATCAGCAGAGGAATTTCTTAGTTATGTTGTTGAATCACATATGATAAAACTTTTGTTGAAAATCATCTTGTCATAATTGGAGTGTGATGGCCACAGCCGTGGCCTCACAACCAGATGAAGAGCGGTAACCTCATGCACTGACTTTGTTGTGTTCTTTAAGATTAGTTTATATACATTCATACACATTAGACAGTTTGTAGTAAATATTTATTTGGTTACAAATAAGCTTACAGGACACTTAGTTTATTTAACATACTTTATTTTAGTTGACTATACAGAAGCATCTTTTGGAACACACACCATTAGTTAGTTTTGGATTTTCATTTTGTTATAATTCTTGTTTCCGAGCTTACCAGTGTTGGATGCCACATCCAGGAAGTCTGCTGGCTTAAAGGGTTGGTGCTCGGAGCAGGAGCAGCTTTATAGGAGAGGTGGCCTGATTGGACACTACCACTGCTTGCTATGTCTGGGGGGTGGCTTTATTCTCTCCTTAAATATTTTGGGGTTTAGATTTATATTATATTTGAGTATTTTTGAGTTAAGGTTAAGTAAATGTACATTTCTTTTGGAATAAGTTTTTACATAAGTTTTGTTGTGTTTGCAGTTATGATGTAGTGTTGTTGTTAGTCTTCCCCTGTGTGTCAAAATTGGTCTGATCAGCCAATATATAAGTCCCCTTTGTTTGTTGTATAGTAGGTCAGTTGTATTTTTGAGTCTCTTATGTTCAGAGCTTTAGTTTGTTTGTTTGTTTATTTGACCTCTTTTATGGGCCCAAAACTTTATCTTTTGTTGTAATGATTTTTTTGGTAAATAAAACCCTTTTGCTTTAAATTTCCCTCTTGACTCCTCATGCCTAACTGCCTGGTCCCTCACATGGAGAAACACTGAAACACTATATATATATATATATAATTTTACTGCTTCTTGATTATATGTACTTATTTTCTTATTCTTTTTCTTGTTCTTCCAGGTTTTTAAGTCATTCCCGCTCTCAATGTCACATTATACGATTAGAGAAACTTGCATGAAAGGCTTTAAAAGTCTGCAAGACTGTCTTGACTTGCTGATGACGGACTTTTATAGCACATTTTAAAGGAATTGTTTTACATTTTGCAAAGTACTGAAGGACATGAGATGGTTAGCTTATCTGAGCATAAATACTGGAAGCAGGGGGAACCAACTAGCTGTTTCTCTTTCCTGGAGTCTCTGCTGTTTGTCTGGACACCTCACAGTGACAACAAGACTGCAGAAAAATATTCGGAGCTTAATTTCCCATAAAACTACAACATCTCCTTCACAATTTGTTTTTTGTGCGGATTAAACAAGATATAACCTGTTAATTAGTGTATTTAAGAGATGCTGGTAGGCTTTTTTTTTTTTGTCATTATGCTAAGCTAATTTAAGCTAAGCATCTAATGGCTATAGACCAGAGGTGGGCAATTAATTTTTACAAGGGGCCACATGAGAAACCTGAATTGTGTCAGAGGGCCACACCAACAATAACTTGAACTTAATTTATTCATCTCCACAAACAATGAAAAACAACAAACAGCTGAACAAGTTTATAGGAATACAGCAATACAACAAACAAAAACTTGTAATGTTTTCCACCTCATTTTACCTCTTCAGTGAGAATAATCCAGTCTGTTCTGGGCTTGAACAAGTGCATTGAAATCTGGCTGAATGTCTGAGGTGGCTATGCGAAGGACAGCTGAGAGGTGGTCATCAGTGATAGAGGATCTGTGTTTGGATTTGTTGAACTTCATCACTGAGAATGTCTGTTCACATACATAGGTAGATCCAAACAGGACAAGAATCCTCTGAGCATGCCTCCTCAGGTGTGGAAAGTTCTCCTCTTTGAGGGAGGAGTAAAAGTCCAGCAGTGAGACTGACTTGAAGTGCTCTGCCAGAAGCGTGTCAGACTGCAGGTCAATGAGTTCCATCTGGACATCACTTGGTGCATTATCCACATTGCAGTTGAAGGGAGAAGACACCATGTGCATTTCACTCTCAAGAGTTTTGAAATCTTGAAATTGCCTTGAAAACTCTCCATGCAGTGCTTCTAACATGGTTGAGTACTTGTGGAGGTGATCGGCTGATCTTGTGGCTTCCTTTAGTGTTGGCAGGTGGGTCAGAATGTTGTCCTTCACTTGGCTTGAGAGAAGCTGCAACTTTCTCATGAAAGCCTTCACTGCACTGTACATCTCATGCACAAAAAGGCCCTTGCACTGCAGTTTGACATTTAGTTCGTTCATGAGTGCAGTCACATCCACAGCAAATCCGAGGTCTGTCACCCAGTCTTCATCTGAAAGCTCTGGGACGTCATGTCCTTTCTTCACACAGAAATCCTGAATCTGGTCTCTCAGATCCCAGACACTTTTCAGCACTTTGCCTAGGCTGAGCCACCTGATGGTGCAGTGATAGCTTATGTCACCATGTTCAAGCTCATTTTCCTCCAAAAGTGCAACAAATTGCCTGTGATTTAATGCTCTCCCTCTGATGAAGTTAACTGTTTTAGTTACAGCATCAACAACATGGTTCATTTTTAACACTGTCTTACACAACACTTCCTGATGTATAATACAATGCAAAAATGTCAACTTCTGCACAGGGTTAATTTCTGTCATTTTATCCTGCATTCTCTTTAAAAGGCCAACATTTTTCCCTGTCAGATTTGGACAACCGTCTGTTGTCACACCTACCAGCTTGTCCCATTTCAGTCCTAACATGTCCAAACATGCATTTACCTCTGTGAACAAGTCATTACCAGTGGTTGCATGGCCACCAGCTCCTCCGTGACTTTAAAGTCTGCAGTTATCCCACGTAAGAAGATGAGGAGCTGGGCGGTGTCACGTACATCGCAGCTCTCATCCAAAGCCAGAGAAAAACAGTCAAAGTCGTCCACTCTGTTCTTCAGCTGAAGCTCCAAGTTCCCAGCGATGTCCTCAACCCGCCTCGTTACGGTGCGTCGGGAGAGTGACGCGTTCTCAAACGCGGCCTTTTTCTCCGGACATATCAGTGCAACAGAGTCCAATAAGCACTCCTTAATGAACTCGCCGTCAGAAAACGCCTTACTTTTTCTGCCGATTTTGTGAGAAATTACATAACTTATCCTGACGGCTGCATCTCTGGGGGTGTGAAGTTTGGTAAAAAGGCCTTGTTGGGTTTGCAGTTTTGCTAGCAACGCATCAGACTCCTTTGCGCGCTCTTTGTCAGTCAAATTTCTGTATTTCTCCTCATGCTTGGTGGTGTAGTGAGGATTCAAATTATAATCTTTCAACACAGCGACCTGTGTACCACAAATTAAGCACACAGCATTACCTTTAATTTCTGTAAAGAAATACTTGGCAGTCCATGTCTTGTTGAAAACGCGGCATTCCTTATCAACTTTTCTTTTCTTAGTGTGAGCTGACATCTTGGGGTAATCTGGCTAGCATCACTTGTCCCTGTTCACCTACGCGCGTGTGCGTGGGAGCTGTGCGTACACACGGAAGACACAAACACAAACGTAGCGCTTTCAAAATAAAAGCGCCACAGTTGTATTGCACGCACAACATATATTAGTTTAATTTATGTTGTAATTTATGATTGGCCTCTCGCGGGCCGGACAGGGACGTACAAAGGGCCAGATGTGGCCCGCGGGCCGTAGTTTGCCCAGGTCTGCTATAGACTCTATTTATGACTATATTTTTGAGAGTGATATCAATTTTCTCACCTAACTCTCGCAAGAAAGCAAATATACGTGTTTCACAAAATGTTTGACTATTCCTTTAAAATCTGGGGCAGAGCTTTTTTCATTGCAGTGCATTGAAACAATCTGACTTGTTCTGTTAGCTGTACCACATTAATACATGGTATTTACAGTGACATTCATATTTAATTATTTAAAGTACAGATGTTTACACATTTGCCAAGAGGGAGATTTACCCAACTGGCAACATTGTTTTGGCACCTTTCATATAAACAACACCACTAGGATTACAAAGATAATCCTGTGACTCAGCATTGTGTCTTTGACTACACAGATCTCAATGTATTTCCACAGCACTGTTTTTAAAAATTAATGAGTAAATCCACCAGAAGGACCACAAGTTGTTTTGGACTTTTGAGAGAAAGGTTTGGGTATTTCCCACTGACGTCAGTGCAGTGAGACTTTTCTTGGAGGAATTGAATCTTGGTGCATGTCCACAATAGCTTCAACATTTGGCTCCAGGTGGTAACTGCTTGCTCTAATCTCATCTTTAAACTTAAACCCCCTATTTACTATACATAAACTGGCCTCTGGCAGAAGTGTGGACTGACCAAAGTTACATCACTCTGCAAAAATGTCATTTCTTGAAAGGCCTGAGACTCATTCTCACAAGGAGAGAAGAACTACACACACACACACACACACACACACACACACACACACACACTCATACACGCAGAGTCCAAATGCTGCTCCTGCCCTGTATGACTTTCCATTCCATTCATCACCTCCCCTCTCTGGTCCCACGCTGCTCTGCTGAAGTAAATAAATAAACAGAGGGAGTGAGGATGTATGTAGAAGAGGAAGGTGATGGGAAGGCTATTGGGGGAGGTGTTAGCTCAATCATTCATCAGCTAATGTATCAGAGTGCTCTTTCTATTTATCTCACTCTGCAGGTCACAGAGAGAAATGCTTTTTTCTGCCTATCTTCTTCTCTCTGGCTCTGCTGCTTCTCTGCTGATCCTTACATCTTCATCTTTCTCTCCTCCACCCCTCTGTACTCTCTTCTGAGGATAGATGAAGGTGAGTGTTCAGCCAGGAACTCAGTACATCGATCACTGATGCATTGGCATGGCTGACCGGTGAGTACTTCTGTGAGTGATGCCACTAGGAGCCTCAACTCTGGATTCACCCAGGGGGACTGATCTCAGACCAGCGAAGATGAGGAAGGTAGTTGGCTGGACTTCTCAGAAAATTTTTGCTTATCGTCATCTGCACCTGTGTTGATGTTAGATGATCTCCAACAACAATTTACTCAGAACTCAGAAGAGTACAAAATGTAAAGTTCAGCTGAAACTTATGAGTCTGAACTTATTCAGTCTCTTTAGTATCACATTCCTGCTCTGTCTCACAATCCATTTGCTGTGGCTCAGCAAAGAAACACTGTTCATGGAAGCACAAATAGGAATTTCATATTAAAGAGGCTGTAACCTCTGATGAAGTGTTCTCACTCCCAAATCGTGGGCAGCTTGGTCAGAGGCCCTAAGCTTCAAAGTATGACACTATGTACCCCTCTATTACTCCCCACCCTTTGGTGGCTACATGGGGTGAAAAATCTCCAACACTGACCCCAAACTAAACACAGGTAAACACCTTTAAAACAACCAAATCAAGGGAATGTATTAACACAACAAGGTGATAAATCAAGAACACCAAAAACACAGACGTAACACAACATTCCCCAGCTGAAAGGCAGCAAGACCAGCAGTCCCAAATCAAAAGCCTCTCTTCTGAATCTTGCACAGGTGCTTTTAAAGCCCGCCTTCCAAGGCCAGGTGGACCTTGTTCAGTAATCAGTTGTAGCACTTGTTCTGAAGGAGAACAAGGATAGAAAAGGAAAATACAGCCATAACACCCTCTAGCATCCGCTGTGCATGTGTAGGACTCCACGGTGAAGTAAGCAAATAATAAATGCAACATCCGGTTACACTTTTGTGGCCCTGCTATGGACTGGCGACCTGCCTTTCGACCCAATGTCAGCTGGGATTGGCTCCAGCCCCTCCATGCCCCTGTACAGAGGATAAGCGGTTGACGATGAGCGAGTGGTTAGACTTTCAAAATAAAATGCATGGTTAACTTTGTGAAACAGTCACCATGGTTAGCTGTAGAAAAAATCAAGCAACACTGCCAGAATTTACACTAGAGGGGCACCTATAGCGACATAGTTTGAAGCTTACAGCCACTGATCAAGTTGCTGTATTTCATGTGTTGGGAGTGAGAACTGATTAGATGAAATCCACTTTTTAGTCTAACGAAACTGTTGAATCTTCATATTAGCTTTAGCTGAACTTCACAATGGATTTTTGCATATCGTTTCCTTTAAATTGCTTTTAGAAAGGGATTTCTTTGTGGCCAGTTTGGATAGGAGAAACAATTACATCAACTAATAACCATTTCAGTGTTCACTATATTGCCAAATGTTTTACACACCCCTCCGAATCATTGAATTTAGGTGTTCCAATCACTTCCATGACCACAAGTGTATAAAATCAAGCAACTAGGCATGCTGACTGCTTCTAAAAACATTTGTGAAAGAATGGGTCGCTCTCAGGAGCTCAGTGAATTCAAGAGTGGTACCGTCATAGGTTGCTACCTGTGCAATAACTCCATTTGTGAAATTTCCTCACTAAATATTCCACGGTAAACTGTTAGTGGTATTATAAGAAAGTGGAAGTGTTTGGGAACAACACAAACTCAGCCACGAAAGCGTTAGGCCACATAAAATCTAAGAGTGGGGTCAACGCATGTTGAGGCACACAGTGAGCAGAAGTCACCAACTTTCAGCAGTCAATAGCTACAGACCTCCAAACGTTATGTGGCCTTTGGATTGGCTCAAAAACAGTGCATAGAGAGCTTCATGGAAGGGTTTTCCGTAGCCGAGCAGCTGCATCCAGCTCCGGAAACAGTTTGGGGATGGCCCCTTCCTGTTCCAACATGACTGCGCACCAGTGCACAAAGCAAGGTCCATAAAGACATGGATGAACGAGGCTGGTATGGAAACTTGGCTGGCCTGTACAGAGTCCTGACCCCAACCCGACAGAACACCTTTGGGCTGAATTAGAGCGGAGACTGTGAGCCAGGCCTTCTCGTCCAACGTCTGTGCCTGATCTCACAAATACGCTTCTAGAAGAATGGTCAAAACTTACCATAAACACACTCCTAAACCTTGTAGACAGCCTTCCCAGAAGAGTTAAGGCTGTTGTAGCTGCAAAGAATGGGTCAACTCCATATTAAACCCTACGGATTAAGAATGGGATGTCATTGACTTTCATGTGTATGTAAAGGCAGGTGACCTAAAACTTTTGTCAATATAGTGTATATAAGAACATGTCAGTATAGTTTATAGATAAACTATTAAACTAAAATAAACTATTGTTTAAATTAAAATATATACAGGGAATGGAAATAGTTTTCATCTTTGAATTTAAAAGCTTGGCAATGGCACATACCTGATAATCAGACTTTGAATGGATGTTGATCCAATACTTTTTACCATCCACCCTCTCCTTGCTGCTGCTGAGAATTGTTTGCTGTTTGAAAGCACCTTAGGTGTCCGCAGTTATTACAGCCAATGTGAGATAGATGTTGAGATATTTCACTGCTGCTAGCATGGCTGAAAAGAGAGTGATAGCATTGTTTAAAAACCTTATGCTATTTGTAGGCAAGAAAACTAACTGTTAAACTGGAGAAAATGTGCTCCTGTCTCAACAGAAGTACTGATTGACCCAATACTTCACAATACTGTAATATGTTTCTAGCTCTGTGTTTAATATGTTTCAGCCACATATTATCATTCAGAAGTTACAAGGCACACAAGTTCACATTGTTAATTTTCTTCCTTTCTAGACTTATAATGTAACACTTTTTCTTTCACTCTTCTTTGGATGATCACTTGAACCAAGCAGCATATATTACATGGCTCGTTTCAGCTTGTTTACAGGTAAACTACACGGAGTGAGGTCTGTGTACTTTCATACACGCTAGATTTACGTTCAGAGTGCTTGCAGCCATCAATCCATTATGTGTAATTATGCAATCTGTGTGTGTAATGGTGTATGGATTTGCGTGTATGTGTTCCGGTCTGAATGTATATGCGTGTATGCGTATGGCATGGTCAGATGTCTCAGAGGGATGTAAGATAATGGATAGAAAACTGTGACCACGTGTGAATAATGTCTCATCATGCTGGTGTTCACTGTTCCCTATTCTTGCTTTATCCTTTTCTCCCTCTGTCTCTTGTACTTAGCAGCGTACCCCCCCCCCCTCCCCCCACACACACACATGTGGTAATGAAGTAGGTAATGTAGACCAGCTCTCTCTCAAATACAACACAATTACAACAGATTACACACCAATGGCTTCCACATGGTTCACAGAAAGTGGTGTGTGTGTGGTTTCTTTTGGACCACCACCAACATAGTACACTGGTTTACAGCATATATTGAATGGGACAAGCGATGGAGGGAAGCACTGGGTAAAAGGGTGAGGGGGTGAAGGAAGAGAAGGAGAAAGGGAACTAGGGAAGAGGTTGTTGTACAAGAGGACTGCAGGGTTGTGTGTTATAATAGAACCTAAGTCTCCTAAGATGATATTTTTTAAGACAAGCTTTTCTCGGTTGTTGTAAACAAGGTAGTGATGCTGCTAAGATGAGTTTATTCTGTAGCCATGCAAACTAAAATGCTATTTGTGTGGTGTGTCAAATGCTGCCATTTGCAACAATCGAGTTGGTAAGAATTGATGACTGTAGCCTGCACCTCTACTTCAGGCCCATGAAAGGTGCCAGACAGTCACAATCGACTGCAGGTGCTGCTCAGAAACACTGGAAGTAAGGCCAACGCAATACCTTGAAAAGCTGCTCCTGCACTGCAACGTGGGTGATCCTGTTCTCTGACATCCAGTTGCTGTTGTGTACTGTGCGTACTGACCAAACATGTGTCTGTCTGCCTGTAGGCCCATATGAAAATCCTTCTGAAAGACATACATAAGATGCAAATTGTTTTATATGATCTGCCAGAGAGGGGATTGCAGCATATTCTATTAATGTAAGCCACGTGATGGATGCTAGTGCCGAAACCCTTTGCAGTACCACGAGCACATACATTTTTAGCGTGGCGGTCTGCCAGCAGCCGCACTGCCATGTTTGACTTACAGTACAAAATCACAAATGTACAGCATGTGCACAGTTCAAGTTTATTTTATTTTCAAAAAAACCTCTGTGTATTTTAACAGAAAGAAAAACTATAAGCACATTGAAAAATTTTTTCAAATGTCAAAATTTGTACTGTATTGTATTGACAGAAAACATGCAAACATTTCAGTCTTTCATTTCTACATGACAGTAATGATGCAGGTTCTAAATTAAGGATTATAGTCTAAACAAGCAAAATGTAAAACACTCTCCCTCTTGCATCATGTGTAGGTTGTGAGCCAATATGTTTTTCTTGAATGAGCATGATTCAGTGCAGATGTCAGGTCAGCAAGCAGACCCCTCCGTCACCTCAAAACTATATGCCAATTCAGCAGATTTTGATTGTGTCCTGGGGGTATGTGATAGACCTGAGCTGTCTGTGGGAGTCACAGCTGTTCAGCATGTCAGACGTACTGAATGCTGTGGTGTAAGGCCACTACAGCAGGCAGATGAAGACATTTAAGAACTAGTAATGTGGGGTAGATTGTAATGTGGTAATGTGGTTGCAACATTTTGGACAAGCTGTTGGTCAATATTTCTCCCTGGTAGGCCAAAAAACAAGTCATTACAATATTCTGGTGGGCTAATGAAAGCTTATTTTGAGAATGTAACATGCAAAAAGTGCTTTATATTTGAGTATATAGTCAACATTAGCAGAAGAAAATCATTAGGCAATAGGTTTGAGGTGTAGGGAGGAGGAGAAGTTAGATGAGGTGAGAGGAGAGTAAATGTCTGTTGTGCACCTGGACAGGTGAATGATGGATTAACCCTTCAACCAACTGCAGGAGAGCAGCCTTCATCAATCCATCAACACAGACCGCAAACCACCACTCACACCGCAGGGTGGAGATAAAACCCGCCCTCACTCTAGCTAGAAGTTCAAGCATACTTCTATACATACAAGCCCACAAATACAAATCCACAAAGACGAAAGGGCTCAGAGTAAATGAAAGCTCAGACTTTCCCCTGAGCTGAACTCTGATGGTTTCACGCTCCTTTTTCTTCTCCGTGACAAACAAACAGACATTTCTCAGCTCATTTTTCTTGTGTTTTCCCCGCCACATTCCCAGGCTGTCCCACTGCAACGCCAATGTTTTCAGTAGAGTAACATATCAGACCTAACCCAAACCAGAACTCAATGCTGCAACCACAGGAGTAAAACAATGTAAGACTCCAGAGAAGTCCAGGAGGCATTTGACCCCTCTGTCTGTGCCAGATGTTATTTTATTTTGTGTGTCTGTTTCTCCCCGTGTCTCTGCTCTCATAGTCTGTCTTTCTTTACCTCCTGCTCCTCTCTGGTGGAGTGATGTGCGGTAGACCTCGGACTATTGTGTTGCAAATGTGAAAGTTTTCCTAAATAGACCCTGGTCTTTTCTATTTATGGGAGATGGACAGGCCACAGCATGTTTTTTTGTAAAGGCTTCAGTTTTTTCTTACATGTACATTACATTTACATCTGTTTTTTATACTGGGAGTGGCTTTTATATTGTTTCTCTATTTTTGCTAACCAGCGACTGGAGCTACTTAAAATAATGCATACTGTTTATGTTGTGTCATCAGACGAAGTCTAAAGGAAAATACCATTTCATTACAACTTGTATCTTGTTTAGTTTTTGTAATCAATCATATCAGTAATATAGCCTAATGCATATTAGTATTAGTGAGTTAATTGCTGAGATCTAGGAAGCAGCAAAACAAGTCTAAAAATAAGTCTGAGGGGGCAATAAACAGAAGCAGTACAAAGTGTCTGTTTGCAGTTTGGTGCTGAGCAAGCACACAGTAGGTTTTAACTGAAATCAGCTGCCTGATGTGGCCAAAAATGAGGCTATGGTGAGAGTAAACCAACCAAAAAGCTAATGACTGGACAGCTAAACAATGATCTGAAGCTCGTGGAGTTGAAGATTCAGGTGATCATTTTTCATAGGTTTGTCTCTATAAGAGACCTTTTTCACATTATCACATTGTTTTCACAGTATCATTCGTTACACTGTTGTAATAATATTGATTATGGCTGCTTTAAGTAAGTCTGTGTTATCAGCATAATGTGCTGTAAAGTAAATGGCTGCATTTATATAGTGCTTTTATCCAAAGTGCTTTACAAATTTTGCATCTCATTCACCTATTCACACACACAGAGTGCAAGGTGTTGGCCTGATCAGCTGGGGGGAATTTGGGATTCAGTATATGCCCAGGACCCGGCCAGGAACGCAGTGATCCATGGACCACTTGCTCTACCTCCTGAGCTACACAATGCAGGAAAATGGGCTCCGTCAGTGTTACAGTGTACAATAATTGTATTATAATTACAGATTCATTAACATACAAGCAGCATTGTAATGATCTAGCTGGCTGTAGAGCTTAGTTTACCTTTTGCCTATTGTTGGGTGGTTTTGTGTAACAATGCGTTGCATTTTAAATGCTCGTTATATGTTTTTAATATTTAAAACCATTAATCTGCAAAGTGTCTAGTAGCTGTAGTATCTGACAAGTAAATGTAGCGGAGTAAAATGTACAACATTTCCCTGTTAATTAGAATGAATAGTAGAACACATGTAGTTCCACCCCTGTAACTTATAGTAATTATGGTCAGAACTATGAAAAAAAGACAGATTTACAACACTTTAATAATGTGTACCTCAGAAAAGCAGGACATGCTGATTGTCGAAATTGTTGATTTTGGAGCTCTGATCATCAATAATATGTTATAGATATTGATGTTAAGAGGGGACAGTCAGTTTCATACATCAGGTAAAATATCAGATTAAAATGAGTTTGAAACATACCCAGTCTGTGCAGGGCTTGGAGGTCAGCGACAGAATAACTCTGGCCTCTCAGGTTTCTGTTGTCATATTTCTGGGAATTTGATGCAATGTTTGGAAACCGAGCTGCAGTCAGGCAGGGTGGACCTCACTTTCAGTGTGTGTGTGTGTGTGTGTGTGTGTGTGTGTGTGTGCGTGTGCGCGTGTGGCAGTTTGTGTATATGTTTTCTGTCTACACCAACTCTGTTCAGCCAGAGATGATTGTGTCATTACAGCATCCAGGGCGTGAGAGCTCTCTCTCTCTCTCTCTCTCTCACACACACACACACATACGCATGCACATACACACACGCACGCATGGAGACACACACACACACACACACACACACACACACAGTCACACACAGAGCATCAGGGTTTATCCCGTCTCTCGTCCTGGGCTCTGTCAGTCATGCACTGTGTTCTCACTCCTCACTCTTCTGATGTCATTTGGGAGTGGACTGAAGGGTGGAGGGGGCTTATGAGAAAGACACACATACACACACACATACATAGATCTGGTGGGGTGTTAATAGTGAATTATGGGTTTATAATGTCTAACACTGGCTGATCCAGAGAGAAAAGTCAGGCCAACTAGCCATTAATCAAACCATTCCACTATACTTGTGTGTGTGTGTGTGTTTATTTGTGTGCCTCACTTCTGATGCTTGTGTCTACACAAAACAATTCACAGCAGGCGGCAGATACACATGCATGCAGCTTGTTCAAGAAAAACACTCGTAAACACAAACAGCATGTGAAAAACTGAGAAGAAAGAAATGAGAAGAGAAATTACGAGAATGAAAGAGAGAAAGTCAGAGAATGGGGGGAGAGAAGGTAAAGATAAACAGAGAGAGAAAGTGATGTTGAGAAAGGATAATGGCTTCCATATGAGAATGTCAGAGATTTTTCCTGCTTGCTTCTTCGTGTAATCATATCAGCAGTCGGGCCGTTTCCAACCTTCATAAATGTGAAGTATGCAGAGAGTTTCAGGATCCAGCTTCCTTTACATAAACACCCCTTAGAAAAACAACCCAGTTGGACGTGAGTGTATGTGTGTGTGTCCACTCCTGTGTGGGAGAGAGAGAGCTTGCATACAGTATGGCAAACACATATTTGTGTACGTGGCGTTGTGGTCAACCTACAGTGCAATTTATGAGTTTGTGTGTGAGTGTATGCATGTGTGTGTGTGTGTGTGAGTACAGATTAGGAGATGATGAGTGAAGTGAGTTAAAGTACTCTTGTCAGCCATAAAGTGTGTGTTGGGAGTTCAGTTACTCCTGTGTCACCAAGATTTAGTTTTTCCTAAACATGATGATTCAGATATTTCCAATAGTATTTGTCTTTAATGTTTTCCACAACTTTATGCAGTAAATTAGAAAAAAGGCAGGATATCCGACTCTCATAGGTCTAAAAAGCAGCCATAAAGACTTGTCAGTCAGCATCCCTGACAGCTAAGTTGTTAAAAAGTTGTCTCAGCTTTACAATGCATATTCCTGGTAGATTTCCTTCTAAGATGATTATAATAACTTTCCAGAGTTGTAAAGACCATCTTCATATTACACATTGCAGCTTTTTGGAGTATGACAAGACTTCAAACTTTTAACTCAAAATTGGCCTGGATTTCATTGTCTCACCAAGTCCCCAAGTGACACGCTGCTCTTTGCAGTTCTTTTTTAAAACATAGGGCTGTTTTATGTGCCTGGGAAGCTTTAATCCCCAGAAATTGTTTTCAACCACTGTATTGAACTGGTATTAATTCTAAGACATGTGTTGACCTGAATTTTCTGTCAGCATTCATTAATCAGGAATGTAAAGACTGAAATGGTTAGGCATTTTCAGGCAGGTAACGCTTTTTGGTCGGTGACATTAGGGTAATACATCAAGTTTTTGGAAATGTGGCTATGAGTAATGAGTTTATCTACTAGCAACGTATGGATGAACACTTGGAGCAAGTCTATTTGATTTTGAATTAATTTCACAAAGACTGAATTCTTTTAGCTTTTGTTATAATTAAACATACTTTAGAAGCCCTGCACACCCACACAGTTGTTTTGCCACCAAACACCAGCCTGAACTCACCCACAAAGCCTTAAGAAGAGGTCTGATCAAGCAATGTAAGTTAAAACATCTGTGTAGGTGAATCATTGGTGTGTTTGGTCTTTAAAAGGTACAGTATGTAAGATCTGGCTAGATCTTACACTGATTTTACACTTTAGTTTAAAACATTAAAAAATTAACATTATCAACAGAATGTGAGGAAGTAACAGTTTTAGCGTCACGGCAAAAGATATGTGTGCATTGTGTTGCAGAGATATTGAATTTAGCACGCTAACCAGCCAGTCCCTGCCTGCACTCTGTTGTAATACCACTTGTACCTTGAGAGTCCAGGTCAGAGCTGCTGTAAATCACCTTGTTACTGTATTTCCTGTTGTCAAACTGGCCTACGTTGGCCTCGAAGGCTGTGTTCTGTCAACTGGGAGAGAGCTCTGGTTCTGGTGCCCATTCCGGACTCAGTCAGCATGGCTAACAGAGCTAACTAGCTAATGGCAGTTAGCCGCAGTTACAACTTGATATGCTGCCCTCTATAGGATTTAGATGGAGAGTAGTCTCATTTCTACTTTTACCTTTAATATGTCCAAAATCCTGCATCTGATTCCCTCATTGCAGCAGAATGTCCTACCTCGGTTAAATGCGACATAGTTGGCCTAGCTTAGCATAAAGACTGGAATCAGTTGGACAAGCCTGGCTCTGTCCAAAATTAAATACTCCACCAACCTTTAACAATTTGTGGTCTCAATTTGTGTAAATATTTCTTCTCCCAAAAGGTTGAGCAATTCCTTTTTTCTTTAGGTTGCAAGTAACTTTCGTGGAAAGTTCTTTGGTTTTTGTAAGAAACTGGCTGAAATCCCACCAGAAGTATCCAATGTCTCAAATATGCATAAAAATGTGCTTGTTGGACCATTGTGCTGATGAAAGTAAAAAAAAAGGTTGTTTAGCTTTCATCAAAAATACAGAGAGTTTTTATTCAACCAAGCATTGCTGAAAATAATTTTTTTGACAAGATGTTGAAGAGGCTGCGGAGTCTACTAGTGCATCTGCATTGAAGGGTTAAAGTTCATGGCAGTTGATGAACTATTGATAACTGTTCGATCCCTGGTGGTGTGTTTTTGTGTTTACTGCAGCAGGAGACCAGCAGGAGATCAAACCACTCATAGTGCTCAGTGTTACACACTAGAGCCACAGTTCTCTGAAAAAAGGCTCCCACGGGTCGCTGAGGGGGTCAGCGGAGGCTGCAGACCTCCTGCCTGAGCATTCAGCTGGCAGCAGAGAGCTTCAGAGGGCTGCACTGGGGATATGTTGAGAAACTGTAAAAACACTAGGGGTGTGTGTGTGTTTGTGTGCTGTAAGCTCCCTCTGCTCAAATATTCACAAATTAGCTAATATCAAGAGTTAAGTTACATACACACACACATACACCCACTCTTCACTTGGTTGACTAGGCAGAGGCATTATTCAATTGGCTGGGGTTCAACAGCAACACTCAGCGAGATAGAGAGGATTATGGGGGAGTGAGCTCTGCCCTGAGAGGTTAAAGTGATACATATTTCTCGTAAGTCTATGTCTGTTTTTCAAGTTTTTAATGATGATTGAAATAACACAGTAGGGATTCAACATAGATTCAGGTCAAAATCCTACATCTGCTGTTCTAATCACTTGATATTGGGCTGGAATTTAGTGATAAAATGATATGGAGATGTAGTAACTGATGCACTTTATGTTTTTCTGGAAAAGAATTTTGTGCGGAATAAATAAAAACTTTCAGCCAAGTCGCAGAGCAGGTCATCCAGTGATCTGAGGGTTGGCCAGTCTCAAACTGTTCCTGGTTGGTACATAAAAGTATGTATGTTGGTGCTCTTATTTACTTATAATTATTGAACTTTTATGCACACTGACTTCACTGTTGTGAGCACAATGACAATAAAGATCTAAACAAATTAAGAGACCTTTATTAAATTAAAGACCTTCGCGCTGCTCCACTGTCCTCTTCCATTACTGTGACAGAACAGGGTTAGCATTTGTAGTAATAGCACGATTTAACTCATAAAGAAATGCACAAACCTCATCAACGGTGTCATGGCTGCCATCCACGGTGCTGACTGGGGAGGTGTCCGCTGTGTTCACTGAATTTTGTGTCAGCAGACTGAAAACACACTTGTAAGGACCGATGACTAAAAGTATATCCTGTAGTTTCAGATCCTGCAAAACAACCTTCTTTCCGGTCAGTCATACCTCACTTAAGAGAGTGATTTAGTTAATTTAGTTATTGTCTATGGCCAGTTTAATAAGTTATTTATGCCTTTCTGCCATTAGCTTTTCTCCTTTTCTTTAGTGTTTTTGTATTGGCTTTTACAAAAATCAAAAGACAGATTTCAGTCAGGGTGGGTCTTTACAGGTGGATGTGTAGCTATGAAAACCTGTCTGTGTAAGAGATGATTAGTATTGTCATTTCTGTGCGACCCCTGCCTCAAAGAGTACAGGTACAAAAAATATTTGGCATTTTATCATAGACGGCAGAAAGATGACAGGAAATGAGGGAGAGAGACAGAGGAGCAAAAGGTCTGACTCACCCGGGACGTTAAGGTTCATAGTTGGTGTCTTAAGCCCTGAGCTAGGGGGGCGCCTGAGGTACAAACAAATTGACACAAAGTCACATAGATTGTTGGAGAAAGTAGCAGCTTCAGTTGCTTATTCTTGCAGTGTGCTAACGAGTAAGCTTCACCCACACCCACATCAACAAGGGAGAAGTAGCAGTGTTGCACAGTTCTTTTGCTTCAAAGGATGTCTTCAAGTCTATTTTATTCTTAGTCTTATATAGTCTTATTTGTGCATGATTGTACATTGGTATATGAGAAATGCCAAAAAGTGAGTGTACAGCATGACTGTGGCTGAACAGATCCAGTGTGACTCCTTACTGCAGCTGATGCTGTTGTGCTGCTGACGTTCTGCTTTCACTGTACGGCCGGTGAAGACAAGGTACAAATCAGCATTTAATTCCTATATTATCTGGTCCTGCTGTTTTCACTGAATGCTTAACAACAAATCCAAAAACTATTAAACAATGAAAAAATATCTCTTGATCTTATTACTTTAAAATTACATCAGAAAACATATATTCAACTGCCTGTATGATCTGTATACTGTCTACTGTATACATTATATATACTATATACATTCATTCTGCAACATACACCGTTCTCCTGTCCTCCCCTAACAGTGTACGCGGTGCTGTGTGGTTTCAGATCGTCCTGCTGTCAGCTGTTTGGCAGAAGCTTGTCGCACAGACGCTCAGGCTGAATCCTGTGTTTCCGCAAGGTGAACAGAAACTTACAACCGTGACATTTGACTTTTATGTCTGGCCTTTAACACAGCGGCTGGACAAGAGCTCTGCCAGAACACTGTGTGTGGCCTGTGTGTGATCCTTGTGCTGATTGGGGTAGGCATTACTCATAGTGGGACGTGATGATATCACACACATGCACACAGCCTTCACACAATGGCAGTGACATCATCATCACCATCCAAACCAGAAGTGCTGAAATTTCTCAGATGATATCATCACCAATCATCCCTGCCAATCACCACACATTTCTCGGCATTGAGTCATTGATAATCTCTACTTCCTGCCAACGGATGATGACATAATTTGGTAGTAAGTGGCTAAGAAAGAGCATTTCATTCTTCACAAATTATAAACTGGCAACAGAGGTGATGCTGGAAACATATAAACCCTACAGAGTCCAAGACAGGTGCAACAGCAGACGTAAACATTTGGGGTTTAGCCAAGCGGAAAGCTTCTGATCCACAATATGAAGCGAATGCAGAAGTCCCTGAAACCTGTATTCTATTGAAAATCCAGCAAGGGGCGACTCTTCTGGTTTCAAAAAGAAGTCCGGCTCCATTAGAAATAATGGGAAAATGACATTCTCTACTTCTCAGCTGAATAATTACCCTAGTAAACACTTTCCTGATGAGTTTATGGTCTCAGTCGCTAGTTTCAAGTCTTCTTCAATACAAAATGATGTTCATTTAGTAAATTATGGTCCCATTTATTTTAAATTAGACCACAAACAGAGTATGTTTCAGGGCGGGATTATCTATGATTGACAAGTCGTTACCATAGCGACCTGTCAATCAGGCTAGAGCAGACTCGTACCTTCGGCGCTGTGTAAATTTAACCAGCACCTTTGAAAAAGCTTATTAGGAGTTGGCTGTTTACTTTCTCTGGTGAGTACATTTAGTTTTAAGCCCAGTTAAAATGACAGTTAACGTGAGTTACAATTGCACCTAGCTAAGCAAGCTAGCTAGCTCCGCACACGGCCGTTAGCTCTGCCGTATTGTCACTTCCGGGCACTTCTTGGTTGCAAAAACTCAACATGGCGGAGCCCTATCGGCCTAACTCGATGCTTCAAAACAGTAGTCCACAAACCAACGGGTGACGTCACGATGACTATGCCCATATCTTATATACAGTCTATGGGTTTAGCCTAACCTCGGGGGGTCTGTGGGCATGCTCCCCTGGATAGAATTTTTTCCCATTTCAGCAAGTCGTTTTAGATAATAGAAGATTTAAAAAAAAAACTGTACATCGTTTGGGAAAAACATGATAGTTGCCCAGGAAAAAAACCCTAAAAGGGTTAGTTGTGAATGGGGTGAAGTTGATGATTGCCTCTTGGCTAGAATGGGTTGAGACGGAAGGCCGGAGTTAAATATGGACAGAACTTGCTGCTGCAAGGGCTGTGGAGGAAAGCTAGAATGCTAAATATCCTGACATCCCGGTGACAGAAACCCAGACTAGGATGAGCTGCCATAGTTGTTGGGATTGGGGCAAGGGGGCACTGGCATCTCAGTCCCAGATGCCCAAACTAAAGCTGGCTGCTGTGATTAGTGAAAGTAGAAAACTGGGGGTGCTGGCATCCCGGTGAGAGTGAGCTGCTGTGGTTGCTAGAAGTGGATGGCAGGGGCGCTGATGACCCAATGTGGTTTGCCCTGTATGATGTAGGCTGCTGGTGCGGTTGCTGAACACTCTCAGAAGAGGTGGAGGCCCTAGAAATCCAGTGTTGTTTGACTTGCATTTTTGCTTGATCACTGGCCTTTCTGCTGTCATAAGCTGGAGAATAAAAGTGAACTGTCTCTTTAACAGTGGCACTGATGTCAGGGAGTGCGTGATTACGTCGAAACTGTGGGCATGACATGTGAGCATTGAAACGTTTTGCTGTTATCTCTGTTCTGTGAAAAGGAATTCCTTTTTCTTTTAGAGAGTTTTGAAGATGAAGAGGTTGTCGGAGGACTTAGCTTGAGAGTGGTAATGCTGCGATTGGCTGTTTGTTGTGAGGCGGAGGATTGTTCTTAAATGAAAAGGAGAGATGAACCATGAAGACAGGATTTAGGACTGTGTAAAACGGGGTCTCAGGCATGGAGAGGTTTACGGCCTCTTATGCTGGGTTTGCAGACGTGGGTTGACAGAATCTTCAAAGAAAATGATTGTCCCAATATCGTACGAATAATTTGTTGTCGGATGGGGATAACGAGATGTCCCTTCTTTAGATGATGTAATTGGACGAATGGATGAAGTCCCTTGTAGCAATACCATTAAGGAATAGTAGCTTAGCATGGCTCTGTTGCTTGGTCTCGGTTCTGGAGCGAAGAAGAGGAGATGGGTATTTATAAGAATGGCAGGAGTGGTGATTGAGGTGTGGTCCTCCTCCTGAAACTGCTAGAAAGCGCAGTTACTAATCTCAACCTATCTAACCTATTTTTGTGATACTGCTAAACATCAGCATGTTAACATTGTCATTGTTAGCATGTTGCTGTTAGCATTTAGCTCAAATCAACTCTGTGCAAAAGTACAGTCACACAGAACTGCTAGTATGGCTGTTGACATCTTGTCTGCTTTTCACTAAAAATAACCTTTTTTCACATAACTTCATGAGGTTAACATTATCTAGGATCAACTATATTATGACTTAGGTATCATAAAGGTTTATCTTAAGTTGCAAAACTGAACAGTAATTCACTAACGCTAGATTACAAAACAACTAGATATTTTAACAAGAGCAGGTTGGAAAAGTGTTGTCTGCAGTTGTATTTTAACTAACATCTTAATGATTTTTTTAAACCCCGTTTTTACCTAGTTTTTACACTTCAAAATAAAGAATTATAAAGTAAATATGAATTATATTAAGTTTTGTTTGGAGGCATTTTCCTCTTTTTCACACATCACAATCACATATAAGTAATGTATTCATATTTGTTCCAGGAGGAAGCCACATTTTGCCAACATACTGTGTGACTTGCAGCTAGTAGTAACCACAGTGCGGACATATGTGACAGGCATCTGCTGCCATGATCGCTGTATTGTCACATTTTGTCCGGTGCCCCGAGGGAAAGATACCATCACCTGTGATGGAGGACAAAAGAGAGAGGTGAGAATGTGAAACCAAAGAAGATGGAGGCAGGAAGACCGTGAAAAGAAAAAAAAAGAGGCAGTTGTGAATATATTTATGGGAAATGGATTACTAGACGCAGGAGAGAAAGATAATTGTTTGGAGTATTCGTTCCAAGTCCCAGCTCAATTTCAAACCCTCCACTTAAGTGAGTGGATATGAGTGTGTGTGAGTGTGTTTCAGTACGTGTGAGAGTGTGTGTTACAAGTGGTTTTGGAGTGGCAGCAGTGAGGGGTGTCATCCCCTGTATTTAACTTTAGCACTCCTCATGCAAATGCAAAGGCCAAACCTTGAAAACACACACACGCACACACACATACAAGCACACGCACATGCACACCCACCCACCCACACACACTCACACACACACACACACACACACACACACACAGTGAGATTTCATTGTTCTTCAGCTCTCGATTGTTAAATCATACCGCAACATCGCCTTTTTATCGAGAGAAGACTCACTTCCCACTTACCCTTGTACACACTATCATCATGTCACTCCTCTTCTCCGCATCTTCCTCCCCTCTCTGATACCCTCTGTTCTTCTTCCATCTCCTACTCATCCTCATATTCGTCTTTTATCTTCTGCTCTTGATGCTTACCTTTGATTCCTTCTTTCACACTTTCCCCCTCTCAGTTTCCTTGCTTCCTTAAACAAACTGTCAGCCCCAACCACCTAAAGACACAGCGTCTGTGAGAGCACACAAAAGGTGCCTTCGTTTAACTGGACAAATTCTCACTTTATCTCTGCTATCAATTTATAAAACTCCTCGATGAATATATTAGTTGTTTGTTGACTGCCCTCCTAAGAAAAATGACAGCATCTGTAATTTCAGCCATTGCCCCGAAACACCATGTCTATGCTCGAGTGACAAAGCCCTCTAATGGCTGTAGTATTTATGCTGGTAGTCAGGTGATGTTAATGTAAAGGCAAAGTCCACGTAGAGAGAGGAGGTTGGGGTGGGTGGATGGGTCAACCAAATGTCAGACTTTAACACAGGAGACAGTTTCTCATTTCAAACTGTCAGTCAGTGTTTTTAAAGCATTCATTCTGGAAAAAATAGAAAATCAAAAACTGCTGCAGAAGGAGAAGAGGCTCAATGGCAAAGCCCATGTGAAACAATGAAACATGTGCATCCACCTGCTACTAGTTATGAAGTTAACAATTTAATTTAGTTATACCTAGTACACACTAGAGGATTTTCAATTTTAAAAATGTGGCTACCACAAACAAAACAGAATTAACCAATTTTTTATATTTTAATCTTAAGCACACTCACACCAGACGATTCAGTCAAGAAGCAGGACCGCACACTTCGTGTTTATGCAAAATGATTTCAGAGTGGCTTTCCCAGGGACTTGGGTTGTCACAGAAACTCACATGATGAAACATCAGACAGAAACAACATGGATGCAGACTGTCATCGTCAGCTAGTTGTGCTATGTTTTGCAAAGAAAAACAAAAAAGACAATGAAACTGTGGATGAACTAATGGCTGAGAAGAGGGAATCAGCATGGTTTATACATTTCATAGCGTGAGCAAATACACAACACATTGGTGACGCTTCCCGTTCAGCTTGCTCTCGCTGGCTGTTGCTCCCCAATTTCGAATCTCCTCTCCGTTATTTTTTAGCTTGCATATGTGAATCATGAAGTATGAGTACAAATGTAATATATAAACATTGAATAATAAAAAAAATGCTTTTGTATATATGTTTATAACCTATATATATATATATATATATATATATATATATATATATATATATATATATATATATTTGTTTGTTTTAATATTTCTTTTCTTGTTCAGTGTATATGTTCGTACATTTATAATGTATGGCAAGTTCAGTGAAGCAGGAGAAGGAATTCTTTTCCTTCTGCTAATATAAACTATTCAGGAAATGCAGTTACAGATACTGAACAATCTTACAAATGTGCCTGCTGAATATTTATATGCTTCACTTCTGACTCAAACGGAACTGCTACTCAAACTGAACTGAACTGTGGTTGTAGGCTAAACAAATGAAAAAAAAGGAAAGAAAGGTGGGATTTTACTTTCCGTTTCATCATCAGCAACGTAGCGGGACAGAGAGCACGCTAGCAAGGAGGATATGAGGCAGATTTATGTACTATATTTACATTGGGTAGTCTGTTGTATGTAAGCTTCAAACAAGTGCTCATCTACGTGTCTTGCCTGGTTTAACATTTGGATTGGATGAAGTTTTTTTGTAGATTGATGGGTTGTTTTGGTTTACTTAAAAATATGTTCATTTCATCTATACACTCACCTAAAGGATTATTAGGAACACCATACTAATACTGTGTTTGACCCCCTTTCGCCTTCAGAACTGCCTTAATTCTACGTGGCATTGATTCAACAAGGTGCTGAAAGCATTCTTTAGAAATGTTGTATGGAGATTTGTGGGATGCACATCCAGGGCACGAAGCTCCCGTTCCACCAC